CCGTCACCATCATCACCATCACTACCATCACCATCACCACCACCATCACGACTTACACCAGCACCATCACCACCAGACCACCACCCCCAGCACCATTAACAACAAGATAACCTCTCTCAACAAGATAACCTCTCTCAACAAGAACACCATTATGAACAAAACACCGCCAAGAACACTGCCAGTGGCTGGCGGCGGGGCAGCTCCCACAGAGACCCGCCTGGCCGGAGTACGTAAACAGGAACAAAGCGACCTTAGAGTCGAAGACTAACAGCATTATAAATGAAGAATCGCCAAAGTTTGCCCGTACAAAAAATTCGAAAATAGGAAAATAAAAATGTAGGTTGGCCAGGAGGCAGTGGTACGTTGCCTCAATGCTCAGCAATTCCCCCAATTGTCTTTTTTATTTAAAAAAAATAAAAAAGTTGTCAATATTGTACTCAAGTTAGTCAATTTCACACTCTAAGTGTCATTAAGTGCCCAAGAACAAGCAACCCAAACAAGAGAGTGCTACACAAGGAAGTAGTAGAGCTGGCCGGCTTGATCCATCCAAAGGGGCAAGCAATAGTGACTCCATCACCATACACGACCCTTTCTGCTGTCAGAAATAGAACAACAGGAAACATTACCCCTTGGGCAAAACAGAAGCTGCCTTGTAAAGATGAGCTGCATTAATTAAAGTTATGTACATGGATGCAGGTGGAATTACAAAAAAGGAAGTTACAGTAAAGAGGAGCAGAACAACAACCTCGCATTATTGTAATAACGGAAACAAAACTGATAAGTGTTATAGAAAATGCTATCTTCTCGGGACTATATCAAGTAATTTATTTATTTATTTATTTATTTATTTATTTATATACAAGAAGGTTCCATGGATTTATGAGAGTACATAGCAATAATGTTTTTTCATTCTTGTGATGCCATTAACACGCATAGCATTTCAGGCAGGTCCTTAATCTAATATATAATATTAAGTAGGTACTTTGTAACAAAATTGAAAAATGTTAACAGGTACATTGTAAGAAAACTTGAAGAAAATTAGTAGGTACATTAGGAGAAATAGAGATAGAGTGAATAGAGAGGGAGGTGGTATATCCCCCTGCTGCTACAGCTACACATCAGCTTTGAGGAATTAATATTATCAAAAGAAACCGATCACCGTATTCGTCGTATATAAGACGAATACCAATAGTGGATGACATAAATATAGTGGTGGTGATTTACAGCCCCCGCCAAACAATAAAAGACCTCGGAGAGGAACATTACAAATGCTATGAGATTTGCCTAATGGTGAGCAAGATGCTAAGATTTTAATACTTTGAGATTCTAATTACAAGGAAATAATCTGGATAATTAAGGACCCACATGAGGGTGATGAGACACGCAGAACAAAACTGGTAGATTTAGCGAAGAAACACTTCTTGAAGTAATATATTTCAGAACAAATATAAACCTCAAGGGTAGAGGACCCACAAGCAACCCTAGACTACCAACTTGCCCATGAAGAAGTGCCGTGACGGCTGACACCAAACAAAATCTCTTGAAAGAGACGAATGTCGTCTATGCCTTTACATGCCCCCTTGGGGATTGTTGGCCCCAATGACTTCAAGATATAGACAAGACAACAACATCCCTTTCAAGACGCCTAACAATGCACAACCAACAATGCCCTATTAAGGAACATATAATCTCTATTCATCACAAACCATCACCGGAGATATACTCACAAACAACCCCAAAATATTTGACAGATACAGCTACAACAGAAGACTGGACATTGGCGAGGCGCTATACATCCAGCAAACCAAGCCATGTATTAACATCCAACTAGCACCAAATTACACTCTGTCAACTTGCAGAACACGACGGAACATACAACATACTGCCCATCATGCAAACAGGAGAGTGACAAGATACAATGGACCTATAAATGAAGCACATCGCCTTCACCACATCGCCTTCACCACATCCTCAGGTACATATGGAACCAGAAATACTGATGGTTCCCTACTCCGCCCCACGGGTGCAGCTGGAAGTAATTATCAAAGGAAGGCACCAAACCGGGAAGGCAATGTAGCACCACCAAATGTGCAGAGTAATCAGAGGGCGCTAAATATCACCAAGGATGCCAATACAAGAACAGAAACGCATAAGGCGAACGATATCAAAAGTATCCAATTCACCAAGAATTCTATCGAGAGACAATTGACCGTGAGAGACGGTCGGAAAGCAAGACACACGCTCGTCCTGAAAGTCAGGACATTCAACAAGAATGTGCATGACCGTAAGTGGAACAATGCAATTTGGACAATAAGGAGCAGGGCGGCGGTCCATTAAGTGACCGTGAGTTAAACGTGTATGGCCAATACGTAACCTAGCCAGAGCCGTTTCCCACCGCCGGTTATGGTGGTAGGAGGAAGGCCACAGGGACACACGACTCTTAATAGTATGCAGTTTGTTGCCAGTAATAAAAGACTAACAACCCTGCCAACGGGCAAGAATGGAGGCATGAATAACTTGGTAAAAGTTGGAATAAGGAATACCTTTATGGAAGATGGGACAAGTGTGGATAGCTTCCTTAGCGACAGCATCTGCATGTTCATTTAAAGAGACGCCAACATGGCTGGGAACCCGGCCACAGGCCAGCCAAATCACAGTCCCACTGGGTGCACCGTCGTGGAGGCCGTCAACCACAAATCCAGCCTGTAGCTGGCAGGTTCCAATCAGCAACGCTGCGTAGGCCACTCCACGACCGATACTAGGGTTGCGAGCCCTAGGCAGGAGCCTCGTGTGATTCCACAGATCACTCTCCTCACCACAACACCCCAGTGGCTAGTCTTCTCCACTAGTCAGCCCCGGGTACGTCAATCCCTGGTTCTGCCACCTCACAGGCAGGCTAACACAACAGTGTTCATCCGGGGGGGGGGGGGGGGGTGACTCACAGCTTCAGCAGCAAATGCGTGGAGGTTCTATGGCTGCCTTGGGTAGACTGATCCAACTTCCATTACAGCAGTCCCAGGTCGACTCTGTAATCAGACACGTCATCAGTACTAGTTACACTCTAGGGCACCTCACTTACAGGCTTAGACGCAAACGCCCACCTATCCACTCCATAGATGGCGTTGCTGTCCAAGCGTCACCTCCCCAGAGGTCAGCAGCGGCTACGTCACGAGCTGATTAGGACGGGAAACTAGCCCTTGTGGCCAGTATATCTCGTCCTCACTAGATGGCGTCGTCCATTTGGAGGGGGTTTCGGGAGCTGACCCACAGATGGCGCGGTCATCACTGCTCCGTGCTCGGACGCTGGGCTCGGGTCCGTAACAATACCGTATATTTGTAATATTATGTATGTTATTTTGTTCAAACTTTATGGCAGGTACTTAGCGTAGGGTAGCAAACATCTAGAAGTCTGCTGATTTTATTGGATGAACGTTCGCATAGCAACACATATTGCTATACCAGCGTTCCTGTCTTCTTTAGTGGCATCTGACAATCTGGTGAAGGAAATCCTACCAGAGTACCTAGTTCAACAGGCAGGGGTACATGATCCCAGGAGATAGTATGCACATCTTGCATACTATCATGCAAGATGTGTGGCTCCTCTTGCATGATAGTATGATGATAGATGGAATTACTGGTGTCAATTTCACTTTGCCTCAAATCTACAAGATCTTGTTGTAGTTCTCGGTGTACTGCTGCTCTCAGATTGCTCATTGACAATCCAAGGTTACACTCAACGGCTCCTTTAAAGGCAGATTCTTTGGCTAACTTATCAGCTCTATCATGCATTCGGAGGCCAACATGAGATGGAGACCACATGAAATGGACTCTGTTACCATCCTTAAAAATTTTGTTGTATTTGTGTCTAGCTTCGGACACGAGCATGTTACAGTTATGTCTTAAAGAGTTGAGAGCATTTAAGGATGATAAGGAGTCACTTACAATTAATGTATCAAGTTTGGAGACTTGTGCACATTTCAGTGCAAGGAGCAAGGCAAATAATTCGGTCTGAAGAGTAGAGGCCCAGTTGTTTATACGGACTCCCCACTCAAAGTACAAGCCATCGCCCATTGTCAGGACAACTGCACTTGCAGCTGCACCCGTGGTGCGGTGTAGACTACTCTGTCTAGACGTCTGAGCACTGGTTGTTGTTGCTCTTGTTGTAATTTCTCTATTCTTGAACATGCAGACGTTGCATGGTTGAACAGGTGATGATGGAATAGGCTTAATCTCCTTCTCTAGGGAGATTCTCGTGACAGTATTGTGTCAATTTTTATTATTTTTTTTTTTTAAATTTTGCCCCGAGGGGCGAGTTTATTGGGCAGCGCCACTACCTTAGTTTAGTTGGGTTCGAGATCGACCACAAATACAGTTTCTAAATTAAGCAGCTGTCATATGTGGAGAGCTAGTGTCATAATTTATATGTTTGTCCTGCACTCCGCCCCCCATCCAGTGGGCAGCGGTGGATAGGTTACAATCACTTAGTTACTACCTACAGTTAGCAAACTGGGGATATTTGGCTAAAAAATCTGGTAGCAGATCATTTTGAATGAATTATTTACACATCTCCAGAACATTTGTTATAGAATTATCTCTGAATTCACGTATCTTTTCGCACTCGAGATGGAGTAGTATGTAACTGTAAACATTTCTTGTTAATTTTGCTAGAAATTACCTACTTAAAATTACCTTTTCAAATTCAATTCAAATTCAAATGTTTATTCAGGTAAAGTACATACATACAGGGTGTTATACAAATATTGATGAATTTATAGATAGAGCTAGTACATACAATGCATACCTGTACAAAAGTAAAGTACATAAATGTTAGATTAAGGACCTGCCCGAAACGCTATGCGTGCTAGTGGCTTTACAAGAATGTAAAATCATCATTGCTATGTACCTTCGTAACCCCAAGGTACTTTCTTGTATATAAACAAATAAATAAATAAATAAATAAATTGGGGCGGCGGATCGGTGGAGTTAGCGACTTAGTGTGAGTGTACAAACAACGTGGCGGCGGTGGAGGGTGTTTACAGGAGCTGGAGGCTGACCAAGGCACTCAGACACTCAGCCTCGACCTCACACTCGCCTCCACACACCACCTCTCACTCTCACCTGCAAGAGGGAGTCTCCACTTCTTTCGTCTCACACGTAATTTAAAAATTAACAAAAATTACAAGAATAGTTTGAATAGGGAAGATGAACGGGCATCATAACATAATGTTGCCACCTCCGTCGCTTTTGAATGATCTATTTAAACTATTTGTATTTACTCGTGTATAAGGTGCTTTGGGCTGTATTAGTAGAGATTTTGGTGCATAAATAATACAGTCTCAAACCATTAACATGCACAGCTTTATGGGTCGTAGACCATATTAATTTGTTTAGTTTAATTTGAACTTCGTTCTGTTTTTATTTTGTTTTTTATTTATATTACACAAGTTCTTACATTCATGTAAAGCCACTAGCATGTGTAACTTTTCGGGCAAGTCCTTAATCCTAATTTTCCCTGGAATATGACCCGCCAAATTATTTAACAGCCAGGTGGTACATCCCTTTGTGTGTATTTTACCTCAATAAACTTATTTCAATTCACTGCTGGGTGAACAGAGGCTACAGTTAGTGATTGGTGCCCAGTAACAAAGCAAACAAGGTTCTCTACCACTAGAGGATTTCTACTGAACTTACAGGAAGTCTGGAGGCCACTACTGAAGCCAGTCCAAGTTTTTATGTATGACCCACAAGGGCTGTGACCCACTCATAGTCCTAGTGGATTTTCTCATTGATATATATCACATTAATGTGATTTGTGTTTCTGAAGTTGAGACGTGAGGTGTGGGACCACTCTGCTCTTCCACTCGAGAGCTTGTGGGTCATGTGTAAACGGACTGGCTTCAGACTGACCGTGATTTTAGTAGAAATCCGGTTATATGACTTGCAAGTTTTCGGTGGTCTAGTGGTAGAGTACTTGACTAGCAATGCCATGGTCATAAGTACTAGTTTGCTAGTGCATGTACGACATTGCTAGTATGTGGACTAGCAATGTCGTGCCCACCTCATAGTCCTGGTGGATTTTCTCAAGTCATTTAATGTTATTCATTATCTTTATTTTACTCCTATTAGGCCCCATTTCTACTGTACTATAGGATGGACTCCACTTGAATGTACACAAACAAGGATGACAGTGCCAAGAACTAGGAGCCTCCCTTATGATTATATTATCATTAAAAAAAAATTTATTTGTTCTGGAAATGGAAAGTGAAGGCTCTGGATTTCTGTCCAGCCACAACTAATGATTTCTATAAATCAGTTATTAGTAAAGCTTCTCAATGTAAATCTGCATTATTTCCAGGTGTTGTCGGGTAATGGAGTAATGGCACAGGTGTCTACCCTAGTTCAAGAAGTCCTCTCCCGCAAATCTGCCGGGCAGACCATTACCTCATGCAAGAAATGGGCTGCATTCATTGTTTTATTCATTGCTGTGCTAGTACATGACCTGTGAGTTTTCTTCTAATTTTGTGATGAATCTGATGATGAATATAAGTTAATACTGTATTGGCAAGTACATAGCATCCAGAGCCTTAAATAGTGTTTAGCTTGGATTATTACCATTTGTTCCGGTACAACAGGCTTGTGTATGGAAGGGAAAAAAGTTTCTGAAGTAAAGAGAGAAAAGTTGCAGCTATAAATTAATGAACAAAATAGTTTGAAACAGAAAAACAAAATAATATAAAATATATCACTAGAAAAAACTTAAAATTACCCTAATATTTTGTGGATAAAAATTGAAAATGTACAGCAGTGTAATATAATACAGTAAAATGTTTATAATGTGCAGAGCTCTCTTTTGACTGGTAGGATGAGGCTCGGTAGTTGCCGGCCTTATATGTGGAATTATTAGAATTTACCATCTTTTAATTCATTATTCTGAATCATAAAGAAAAATACCTCTTGTGAAATTTTTAAATAATAATAAACAATATAAATGTGCCTTTTAAATATACATGAACTAACTACTGTACCATTTTTGTGGTTGTCATAAAATAAATTTCTTTCAGAATCTTGTACAGTAGACTACAGTATATTCTTTTCTATATGCAATACTGATTAAGGATAATGTGTCAAAAATTATTGTTAAATGATACATCGCACTTCATTAATGCATATAAAGCCAGTTCCTACTGTAAGTGCAATGTGGTACTGTACATTGTAATAAACTATAGTGCCATGGGTACATATAATACTTATATACAGTAATGTAAACAGCATATACAGTACACAGCATATACAGTATTAGAGGGAGCCGGTCGGCCGAGCGGACAGCACACTGGACTTGTGATCCTGTGGTCCTGGGTTCGATCCCAGGCGCCGGCGAGAAACAATGGGCAGAGTTTCTTTCACCCTATGCCCCTGTTACCTAGCAGTAAAATAGGTACCTGGGTGTTAGTCAGCTGTCATGGGCTGCTTCCTGGGGGTGGAGGCCTGGTCGAGGACCGGGCCGCGGGGACACCTAAAGCCCCGAAATCATCTCTAGATATCTCAAGCTATGTAAAAGATGCAACTCTTTATCCTAACCAGAAATATATAAACTCAAGACAACCCACCGAGTCCTTCAAGGCTGATTAAAAGAAAACATGAATCATGCAGTGCTTTAATATTTATGAATAGGTCATATTTTTAACGGATTGGTAAATTGTTAAGAAATGAGAGGTATTAGGCGAGAGGATGAGTTGGCAGTACAGTAATGTAATGAATGGTGCTTGTCTTCAGGAAAGACGGTGGGAACCTGAGTGGTCGGAGCAAGTTGTGGTGGTGGACATGCCTGGTCCTCTGTGTCGTAGCAACTGCTGCCTTAGTCAAGCTCACTTTAAGCTATGCAATAAACTTTTTCATGCTTAGTACCATAGAAGTGAATGACAAGCAACGGTCCCTTCTCTCTATAAATGAAACAGGTATATACCATTTGATGTTATGTTTTATAATAATGTTAGCTTATGTTAATATTAATTTGTTATGGCAAATAGGATCCATTGTTTTAACATTAACTTTAAGCTTGTTTTCTTGCACAAAAGAGCATGGAAATGGGGAAGTTGCACTTTGAAATCACTTGCAATAAGTATACTGTATTATAAAAAAAATCCTCGAAATATCCTTGTATAATAGGTGTCTCCTATGGCAGCAAATATGTGGTTGATTTTGTATCTTTGGAACAAACATGGAGGATTAAGCATAATCTCAACTATTCCTCAACATACTTAATATTCATAAATATTAAATACTGCAAGTACAGTATTAAATTGACATTGGGCTTATGTCAATAAATTCCTTTTTAGATGTTGGATTTAAACCAGCAACACCCAAGAAATTGAACTCCACACCAGTTGCTAACAAGTCAGTCTCTCTCTCATCTTTGTTCAATGCTACATTACGTGGCTCATCGCCCATGAGCCCCCCAACAGCTGTCTCGCCTGTTAATATGTCTACGGCGTCTTGGGGAAACCTCTCCTGTCAAGGCTCCCCAGCCATGCAGAGTCCAGGATCATCTGTTGATAGTCCAGGTAAATTGTTATAATTATGTGTGTTGTTTATTTAAAAAAAATATGTTTTTGTCAATTCAGTAGAGTTCATTTTTTTTTTTTTATTATTATAATTGCTGGCTCTGTGATGCCAGAGATGCAGATAGGTTTTATTTATAACAACTTATGGTGTATCTACAAATATTAAATTTTTCAGCTAAATTTTAATAATAAAAAAGTCTTATGTATGATAGTATAAATGGTACAGCATACTCATTAACAAGATAAACATGTTACCCGAACTTGTAATACAGGTATAAAGGGGGAAAATTGTCCATGAATTCTAACAAATTCGGTATTTTAGAAGAAACACTAAATTTTGTTTCAGTGGGAAACAATCCAAGAAAATTACCTTTTGGATTATATTTATTAAATTATGTGCTATTCAAATACAACCAATATAATGTAGAGTGCCTTATGACTCTAAGAAGAATTCAACATCCTGTACATTGTTATAAGGGCAGGAATGTAGGAGGTAACAAAAGTTTCTAGAATAAAAACAAATATATAGTGAACCCTGTACTGTACATTGCTACCAAGTATGCATAGTTTTGTGTAACTGGTTTAAAATTGCATGTTAAGCATGAATTAGAATAGTTCTAGTGAAATATTCTGCAGGATAAGGGTGGGTGTAGGCTGAAAGGAGAAATGTTTTTGATTGTCACTACTACTTCTTGGCAACACATACGTACTGAGTTGTATATATTTGTAGTTTTCAAGTTGTTGATTATGGTAAGATAATATTACAGTACAGTATACAGAAGATTGTCTGAAAAAGTGAACAATATCACTTATTGCAATAAAGAAGAATTTTGTGTTGGTGACGAAGTGTCTACTTTCATGGCCAAAGGGTTAAGAAAGGATGATTTTGTTGAATAAATAAAATATGTATAGGTTTTAAACTGAGCTGACATTAACAACTACAACAACAATAAGAATAATCTGAAGAAGAAGAATGTTATAAACTTGTCATCTTTACCTTTGTAACTAACTTTGAATCATTTTAACAGGTCTGAACTTCAGCTTGACAAGCAGCAGCGGTGGATCTGTTACGGCTAACTCTTGGGCATTTCATTGCAACCAGTCATCTTTACTGAATTCTTCCTATAACATTATGAATGTGAGATAAAACTAAATTTTTTTATATCGTCTTGATTCCATTTTTGTGACTACAGTACCTATAAGAGCTCGGTAATCCCAATTTCTGTAACCTGAATCAATTTATGTTCGAGTAATTAAGTACACAGTGAGTGTTTTGAATTTTGTGGTGCAAAAACTTGCAAATTTGTTCATTTTTAGACATTCCTGGTAAGAATTTTTTTTAAGTCAAATGTTTGGCTAACTCAAATGGAGGTGGGCCCCATGTGATTAGGATTACTGAGCATAGCTAGTACAATACTATAATTGCGTAACAATATTTTAGAAAGTTGCCCACTTTCAGTGATTTATAGTTTTATCATTCACCTAAAATATAATGCATACACAACAGAAATGTTAATGCTACTTCACATGTGAAATCAATTCTTAAATATTGGAATAAATATGCGTACAATGGAAACTTAATTGGGAATCCTTATTAGGTGTCAGAATGCCTTGTTGCTTTAAAATATAATTGGAGCATAATAAATATTAAATAATAACAAATATAATATCACTTGCCCATTCATAATGTCATTGACAATGTTATGTATGGATAAACAAGAACTACCACACTCCATCAGTCATCCACAGTCATCCACTGCTTCCTAAGACCAGGTGGAGAATGCTGCTCATGAATTATATTCATTACATTATCTCCTTGCAATCACTTATATCCAGCCTTGTTCGTTACCCCTATCCTGTATATTGTCTACACTCTCCCTGCCTCCTCACTCATTCACTCACTGTATTTACCCATCTTCTTCATGGCCTTCCTCTTCTACCGTCAAATTCATTTAGATACACTCCCTTCATTAGTCTAGCATTATCCATTCATTCAGCATGCCCACACCATCTCTGCTCTCCTCAATCTTGCAGTTTACAGATTTTTCTGAAGGGAGCCCCTTTGGCTTCCTGGAGCTATTGGGCTAATACGCAGTTCATTAGACCACGGCATTAGTCATAGGAGTTCAGCCTACCGGGGACCGTGAGCCAGAACCTGGCCCCCCTCAGAGAGGCACAGGAGCAATGGCCCTGGAAAACCCCCCCTGTGGTTGGGGATTTTCTTTGTCATTGACCAGGGTTAGGCACCCAGAAAGGTAGGCATAACAAAACAGACCCCACGTGGTAAGAAAATTGCAACCGAAAACCGAACAGAGAGGCAGGGGAAGGGGGAGAGCCCCCCGTGCTGGCGACCCAGCCATTCCAGTTCGTTGGCTGATGCAATCTAGGGCTGTCTTCATCTCTGGATCCGATTTCCTACACAATGTTTTGCCTTAGTGGTGTCTTCTGCTGTTCGTGGTTTGGTGTTGTGGCCAGGTGTACCTGAAGTGTACCGGAGCTGCATGCACTTAGGGCAGCCTCCCCTAAGTGCCCTATGAGTTTTACCCTTGCATATTAGGGTTCTCGTCCCTGGTGCGTTTGGGACGCCATTTCTGTAGGGGTTCTTGCTGCTCGGCATCTACCTTGCCCTTGGGGTCAGCTGGGGTTTCGTGGTTCTTGTTTGGCCTTTGGTAGGACGTGGTATTGTTGCTGATTGTATTGCTGTACTGTACTGTATATATATTGTAAAGGTGTTCCACAGCCAGCCTACCTACGCAGCGTCCAGTTCTCGTTTCCGCTGGGGACGTTGTACTTTTGCGGGTTTTTTATTTTCTTTTTTTATGCTTTGCCTGGTATGGCTATTGGACCACTTATAATAATTTGGTGGCCTTCTGCTAGGCCCCCGTGATTGTACACATCACAGGGGTTTCAGTGTTTGATCTTTCCCCCTTGTTAGCTTTGGGTCCCGATTACCTTACCTTGAGGTTACCCATGGAATGATTTCGGGGCTTAACCTGAGAGGAAATCTAGCTCTAGTAAATAATAATGTTAAATGTTTCGAAGGACCATTCTTAATATTGAAAAATTACAGAACCATTGCCTATGGATCTCTTTTTTTTTTTTTTTATTAAATGCAAAATTGAAATCGAATAAATCTTACTAAATGAACTGTAAATTTATATTAATTCTAGAGCTATCTCCATACACAATCTTTGGGGGGGGGTAAATTTATATAGTATGCATATACATATGGTTAAAGTATTAACATTATTTTGCGTGAGCGCTGCAGACTTTGACGTCATGGGGCTAATGGTGCGGGCGAGCGTGCGACGACGCCTAAGCGTGTATACTCGTTTCAGTTTTCTCACCTTAATTCTCGTGCTACATCGTTCGTTTTGGTATCATCGTGTTCGCAATTAACACTATCGCGCATCCCACGAGTGCGCCGCAAACTTTGACATCATGGAGCCAATGGTGTGGGCGAGCGTCGGCGACGCCTAAATGTGTATACTCGTTTTAGTTTTCTCACCTTAATTCTCGTGCTACATCGTTCGTTTTGGTATCATTGTGTTCGCAATTAAATTCCCTGCAGATGTATATGCATATAATGTCCAAAAGCCTGGCGAGACTCCCCACAGCAAAGCCTAAAGGCGGAAAAGTTACCCGCGAGCTCACAAAATCAGTAAAATGTTTATACTCGTTTCAGTTTTCTCACCTTAATTCTCGTGCTACATCGTTCGTTTTGGTATCATTGTGTTCGCAATTAAATTCCCTGCAGATGTATATGCATATAATGTCCAAAAGCCTGGCGAGACTCCCCACAGCAAAGCCTAAAGGCGGAAAAGTTACCCGTGAGCGCATAAAATCAGTAAAATGTTTATACTCGTTTCAGTTTTCTCACCTTAATTCTCGTGCTACGTTGCTCGTTTTGGTATCATTGTGTTTGCAAATGAATTCCCTACAGGTGTATATGAATATAATGTACAAAAGCCTGGCATGCCTCCCCTCAGGAAAGCCTAAAGTTACCCGTAAACGAGCACCAATTTGTGCTCGTTTACGAGTAACCGGCAGGAATAAAAGAGAAGGTGCTCCAGTGGATAAGGGAGTACTTAAGCAACAGGAAACAGCAAGTAACAGTGGGGGGGGGGAGACATCAGAGTGGCGAGATGTCGCCAGCGGAGTCCCACAGGGCTTAGTACTTGGACCCATCCTGTTTCAAATATATGTAAACGATCTTCCGAAGGGTATAGACTTGTTCCTCTCAATGTTTGCTAATGATGCAAAAATTATGAGAAGAATCGAGACGGATGAAGATAGACAGACTACAGGATGACCTGGACAAACTGGAGGAATGATCTAGAAAATGGCTGCTAAAGTTCAACTGAAGAAGTGTAAGGTAATGAAATTAGGCGAAGGGAGCAGGAGGCTGAACATAAGGTATCATCTGGGAGGTGAAATCCTGCAAGAGTCTAATAGAGAGAAAGATCTGGGGGGTTGATATCACACTGAACCTGTCCCCAGAGGTCCACATCAAAAGGATATCATCAGCAGCATATGCTAGACTGGCCAACATAAGAACTGTCTTTAGAAACTTGTGTAAGGAATCGTTCAGGACCCTGTATACCACTTACGTCAGACCAATCCTGGAATATGCAGCTCCAGCCTGGAGTCCATACCTAGTTAAACACAAAACAAAGTTAGAGAAGATTCAGCGGTATGCCACCAGGCTCGTCCCGGAACTGAGAGGTATAAGCTACGAGGAAAGGCTAAAGGAGCTGAACCTCACATCCCTGGGAAAACAGAAGAGTAAGGGGAGACATGATAACCAGCTACAAAATTCTCAGGGGAATTGACAGGGGTGGACAAAGACAAACTCTTTAGCATGGGTGGGACACGAACAAGGGGACACAGGTGGAAACTTAGTACCCAGATGTGCCACAAAGACTTTAGAAAGAATTTTTTCAGTGTCAGAGTAGTTAATGCACTAGGCAGTGATGTGGTGGAGGCTGACTCCATACACAGTTTCAAATGTAGATATGATAGAGCCCAGTAGGCTCAGGAATCTGTACACCAGTTGATTGACAGTTGAGAGGCGGGACCAAAGAGACAAAGCTCAACCCCCACAAGCACAATTTGGTGAGTACAATTAGATGAGTACTTGTATGGTGATCAGGTGGCTTCGTTGATGGTGTCCCACCTGCATGTTTTGTTTCGGTGGCGGTATGAAGTCTCCTGGCGGTCTTTTTCGTCTTCTTCTTCCTTAGGTTGCCTTTGATTTCGAATCGGGTTGTTTTGTCCTTTCTCTCTTAGTTGTTTCAGGACCGTCGTCTTGTGCCAAATACTGTTGCCTTATATCGTGCAGTGCTGGCAGAGCCGCTCTGGGTGGATGTTACTTCCGCTCCGTTTTGCAAGCTGTCTCGTGCATTGTCTCGTGCCTGAGCTGTCCTGGTCGCTGGACAGGGTGCTCTCTCTCCTCTCCTGTCCTAGGTTCATGGTGGCCTCTGAGGGGTCAGATTGGGGGAGCTTCATGCTCTCCTCCAGCACAGGGGTTTTTGCTCTTTTGGTCCTGGTGGTAGGTTTATTAATTTGCAGCCATCCTCTTCTTTTCTGGTGAAGAATGAGCCAACAGCTTCCTGGAGGGGTCCTTGGGTGGTTGATGCTTCGTTTCCATCCCTTCTTGCTCCTTCTCTCAATCCATTCTTTCCCGTCTTCTTTCCAACCCTTTTTATCCCTTTTCTTTCTATTCCTTCTTACATCTCTTCTTTGCATCCCTTCTTACCCATTCTTCTCTCTATCCCTTCTTACCCCTCTTCTTTTCATCCCTTCTTATCCCTCTTCTTTCCATTCCTTCTTAACCCCCCTCTTCTTTCCATCCCTTCTCATCCCCTCTTCTTACCTCCTCTTCCATGCCTCTTCTCCCTTTTGTCCTCCCCTCTATTCCACTCCCCTCTTCCCCACCCTCTCTCCTCCCTCCCCCTCTCAAAATTTATTATTATGAAATGCTGTAACTGCTGAAGAATTCTATGTGGAGAAACAAATATTTCTGACTTCATGAAAATTGCATGGGGGGTGGTCTATGAATGGAGATATTTCTTAAAGCAATTTCACCAACTGGCCTATGACACTCCCTGCCCAGCATGTGTCATCTTGGAAAGTTGGGTGAGGCTAGCCCCAAGTGTCTGGCCTCCAACCCTTGGACAGGCAGGCAGATTCTATTTTATAGATATAGATGAGTGGGTTGGGTCATTTATTTATTATTCCTATTTATCAAACTAAATTGTGCATGTTGCCTTACTGAGTAGGCTGTTGTACCATGTGGTTAATCTTAATGAATATTATATTGGTATTATATGTTGTAGTTGCTATGATAATTTTATAAATGCTCTACACACATTAAAATAGTGAAAGTGATTGTTTCAATATTTCTTAACCCCTAATCAAGTCATGACATAGCAGGAGTGGGCTTGTGTCATGACTTGATAAGGCTCCAGGATGGAGTGAAACATTTTCACCTTCATGTCTTTTCATGTGAGGGTGTTCATATGTGCGTGTTCAGGTTATTTATTTGTGAATAGTTTTATACTTATTTATTTCAAATTCCAGAGCCCACAGCAGCATTCCTTCTCACAATCTCAGTTATCGGACTCTCTTCTTGGTCCCCGGCCCAGCAGCAGTGCTAGCAGTCCGGTCTCTCCTAAACTGCATCGTAATCCTATCTGTAATGAAGCAGAACTCTTCGCCTATTTATATCAACACAAAGAACGGAAAAAACACCAACAGATCAGTAAGTGCAGTTGTGTTTGTGTATGTAATGACCTAAGTGTAGTTACAGGATGAGAGCTATGCTTGTGGTGTTCTGTCTTCCCAGCACTCTGTCATATGATGCTTTGAAACTACTGACAGCTTTGGCCCCCAGCACTACTTCACTTAACATTTTCCAACTGTCTACCACTGTTTGTAAAAGTGAATTTTCTTGTATTTCTTCGAGAACTTTGTTTAGTTAGCTTAAATCTATGATCTCTTGTTCTTGAAGTTCCAGGTCTCGGGAATTCTCCTTATCAATTTTGTCATTTCGTATGTAGTGATCATATCAGCTCTTTTTCTTCTATCTTCTAGTTTTGGCATGTTTGCCTCTAATCTCTCCTCGTAGCTCTTGTCTTTCAGTTCCTGGAGTCATTTAGTTGCATGATTTTATGCCTTTTCCAGTTTGTTGATGTGCTTCTTAAGATATGGGCACCTTACAACCACTGCATATTCCAGCTTTGGTCTCACAAAGGTCGTGAACAATTTCTTTAGTATTTCACCATCCATGTATTTAAAAGCAATTCTGAAATTGGAAAGTGTTGCATAGGCTCCTCACACAATGTTCTGTATTTGGTTCTCAGGTGATAGTTTTCTATTTAGAATCGCCCCCTAGATCCCTTTATCAGAATTTTTTAAAGCTTTTTCACATAATTTGTAGGTTGTATGAGGTCTGTTTTCTCCTATTCCACATTCCATTACATGGCATTTATTCACTTAAACTTTATTTACTGTGAATAAATGGAATTTAAAGGTATGGAGTGGTGGTCCATACACTTATTTTGCCCAGATCTTCTTGAAGGGCATGACCATTGTCTAAGTTTCTTATCTTCAACAGTATCTTATCATCCACAAACATGTTCATATAATTCTGTGTTCCATCTGGTAGAGTGTTTATGTAGACAATGAACATTACCGGTGCCAGAACTGAACCCTGTGGTACTCCACTTGTGACATCTCTCCAGTCTGATATAGTGCCTCTGATTACTGCCCTCATTTTTCTGTCAGAAATTTATTTGTCCTCTCTGAAGCTTTTGAAATTAGAAGGCTCTCTTTGTCACTCCTCCAATATATTCCAGTTTCTAGAAAAACCTCTTACGAGGAAATTTGTCAAAAAGGCTGCTGCTTTTTTTTTTTGTCCTTAGATGCAGTCAACCCAATCATCTCTTTCCTGTAAAATCTCTGACTCTATCATAGAAACAAAGTAAATTCGTTACACAGGATCTTCCTGATCGAAAATTATACTGTCTGTTATTTCATGATTTTTTCAAGGCATTTACCCATTTAACTATAATTATTTTTCCAATATTTTGATTACTATACTTGTCAATGATACAGGTCAATAATTAAGAGGGTCTTCCCTGCTGCCACTTTTGTAGATTGGAACTATGTTAGCCTTTTCATATATCTGTCAGGATCCCTGTACACAGGAATGCCTGAAAAATCAATTGAAGTGGAATGCTGAGCTCGGGTGCAAATTCTCAATTTAGTTTGGCATTGTAACACATTTATTGGATTTAAATGTTTAAATATAGTATACAGTACAGTAACACAAGCATTTTCCATATCAAAGTCAGCAAATGAGTTATGTGCTCCTCTTGTGTTAATGATATGGTAGATAAATGCTTCATAAAGCTGTCTGCGGAGCCTGCTGTTTTAGTAGTCTTGCAGTTGATGCTTTTGTGGCTAGTTCCCTTGAGTTGGCACCTTGGTTCCTCTAAGGTGTCTTAGGGGATGTACAAATGTAGGCATGCATGATGTTAGTCACTTGGGTTAAGAAAGTAGATTTTTTCCTTGGTACCCTTTATATACCATCACAAGTCAAGCCTGGCCTCGGGCTGGGCGTGGGGAGTAGAGGAACTCCCAGAACCCTATCTAGCAGGTATCAAGCAAGTATCTCAGAACCCGAGGTGAAACTCCATCTGGGCGTGTGTGTGTGTGTATGTGAATATTTATCTGTTTATTTTAGTGATTAAATGGTACATTATTGCAGTGTTACACAGACAGATTGCTTTTCGGGCAAATGTTTCACACATTCACGAGATTTCCAGTTGAACAATGCAAGTGGTTCAAGACTGTACCAGTGCATTGGATCTGCTTTATTTTATCTCTACTTTAAACTTGTAATAAATATTGAAGCCGTAGAACAAAACTGAACCCAAACCCTTGAACTCTTTGAACACCAGCTTCATCATACAGCTTCAATAATTTATTCATAGATTCATCACGTTCTTGTGATTTCATTATGCAAATTAAATTACTGTATCCTTTTCTGAGGGGAGCCCCTTCGGCTCCCCGGAGCTTATCCAGGCTGGTATGCTAATGTCAGACTTTGCCATCAGTCATGTGGATGGAGTTCTATGGGTCTACCGGGGACCACGAGCCAGAACCTGGCCCCCTCAGAGAGGCAAGGGGAGCAATGGCCTATAGAAACCCTGTGTGGTTGGAAGCATTCTATGTCTGCCATTGACCGGGTCAGGCACCCAGAAAGGTAAGCGTCTCAAAACAAACCCCTATTCTGGTGAAAATTGCTACCACTAGCTGAAAAAGTGGATAGAACTCCCCTACAAGAAATGAGCAAACGATCATGACATCACATGTTACTGCGCCGCTGTCTGCGCAGCTCCCTTCTTCCTGGGAGGGAAAAGGGGGAGCCCCAGACCTGCCGCGCCGGCTATCCACCATCAGTTCTTCGGCTGATGCTAGAGGCTGAGGTCGTGTGTTCCAGCTCGGGTGGTTGTTTCAGCACCTAGAGTGTGGTGACTGTCTTCTAGGTGGTGCATGAGCCAGGAGTGATTCTCCCGTACTCGGGCTGCATGTGCCTAGGGTTTCCTTCCCTAGGTGCCCTGTAAGTACTGCCCTTGGGGCTTGTGGCCACCTTCCACAAGTTCCTTGGGTTCTGCCCCTGCTAGGCCGTTTACTGCTTGGTTTTTGGTCGCCCTTTGTGTGCTCGGGGTGTTCTGTCTCCCTTGTTCGCCTTAGGGTAAGGGGCAGTTTTGCACTGGTGGGGCGCAGGGTACTGCACAGCTTGTTTTCACCAATCATGGCGGCTGGCTCTGTTCCGCCTGGGTACGCTGTCCTCTTGTGGGGTTTTCTTTTTCTTTTTGTTTATCTGCCTGGTGGGGGTCTGCCTTCGTTCTTGCCCCCTATGTCCCCTGTGTGCCAAGTATTCTTCCTTCCAGTGGTTTCCCCTGCTAGGTCCCCGTGAGTGTACATGTCCTGGGGGTTCAGTTCTTAGAAGGTTGTTTGGTAGATTTGGGTGCCAGTTAGCAGTACCCTGCCTGGGATTACCTGAGCACGAGTCCTATTATAGTAAATGCTCAGGACCCTGGGGAACCCCTGGGGGCGCGCGGGTCTGATGGATGTGACCCCGGAGTTCCCCATAGCTTCCAGCGAGTTTGAGGGTCGGTGACACCTATGGCCTGGAGTCCTGCGAGTTTTGTTGCTTGTTGTGACTCGGTTACCCAGTCTTATGCTGACTATGTGGGTGCAGGCAGCAAGGGCATTGCACGTTGAGCTTCGATGGTGGGAACACACTCAGTTGTTTGCTCCCCGGAACCCCCAAGGCTGCCCCGTTTTAGTTGGTGTTGGGGCTTGGGGGTGTTGGTTGCTTCGGTTCCTTCCACGCCCCCTTGTCTTTCCCCTGTTGTGGTCTAGTCTGGTCCCCCCCTTCCTACGTGCATCCGGATCCTTACCATCTGTGGGTTCGGGGTCGGGGCGGGGCTTCGTTGGTTTTGAGACTTGGGCGATCTTGGGAAATTCCTCTTCCGGGGGTAGCGACGGGGGCATTCGGCATCCGTCAGCACATAGGTGACTGCCCCTATTTCGACCCGTCCAGTCCCACTCATATGCATGTCCAACCCATGCTCGAGTCGATCAAGGGGCCCACCTCATCCATATTACGAGGTATGATGGTTGAGGTGCAGGTTATGTACTCACCTAGTTGTGCTCACCTGGTTGTGCTTGGGGGATTGAGCTCTGGCTCTTTGGTGCTGCCTTTCCGCCGTCGGTCGCCTGGTGTGCAGGTTCCTGGGCCTGCTGGGCTCTATCATATCTACATTTGACCCTGTCTGGAGTCAGCCTCCACCATTTCTCTGCCTTCGCCGAGAGAAGTTACTACATGTTGCGTGTGGTGCATGTTGCTGGTGCACGTGTGCATTGGTAACGTGTACCATGGTGACATGTGGTACTTGTTACTTTGTCAGGAGGTTGTGGGGTGACATTTTGCTGCAGTTTTGTGCCTGGCGTTGCGTGTTGGGGATTGCTTGTGGCGTTTTTTGTGGTCTTATCTGGGGTCCCTCTTTCCTTTCCCATCTTAGAGTGCCTGGCTTGGTCCTTCCATGTACAATGGTTTCTCTGTCCTCGCCTAGTTGTCCGCCCCTGGTTGTGCTTCCTGGGGTTGAGCTTTGGCTCTTTCGTCCTGCCTCTCTCCCGTCGCTTCCCTGACATCACCTGGGCTTTGTCATGTCTGCACGTGCAGCTGTGTGTGGGATCAGCTTCCACCACTTCCCTTCCTCGTGCATTCCATTTGTTTACTACTCTGCCGCTGGAATGTTTCCTTCTTGCATTTCTTTGGCTTCTTTGGGCGCTCCTTCCGCCTGTGTCACATGGTGCGTGTGCAATTGTGTGCATTGGTCTTTTTCTCGTTTTTCTCCTACACACGGTTGTGTATTTTGTTTGTGCCTTTTGGCCCTCCTGTTGCTAGGTTTGGGTTCCTGTTTTCCTGGCTTGCCCTGCCTGTTGGCATTTTCAGGGTCTTGCAGTGTCCCTTCTCTGTAGTCTCGCGTCAGACCCGTAGTCTCCGATCTCCTGGCTCGCTCGCTCGTGTTGGGGAGTTTTCTGTTCAGCAGACGTTCCATCTCCTTCTTTGCCGGCTTGGGTTTCCGGCTCTGCTTGCTCGGTGGTCGCACCCGAGATCGTCCCGCGGCTCCGCCTCTTCCTGGGCTCGAATGAACCTTGATGGGGCTGGTTAGGTTCTGCCTCGAGTCTCTCACCTTCGGTTGGTGGTCAGGTGGCTTCGTTGTTGGTGTCCCACCTGCGTGCTTCTTCTTGGCGGCAGTATGGGGTATTTTGGCAGTCCTTCCTTTTCCTTCTGTCTCTTCTTAGGTGGCTACATTTGTCGACGTCAGCTTGGCTTTTCTGGTGGGGGTTTGGGGCCGTCATCTTGCCGCATACAGTCGCTTCGTTTCGTGCGGCGCTGGTGGAGCCGCTTCGGCTTGCTTCCGGTCTTGGTGTTGCATCTGCGCCGTTTGTAAGCTGTCTCGTGCATTGTTTCACCTCCGGCCTGCTCTTGCTCTGCCTGAACCGTCCTGGTCTCTGGACAGTGTGCTCTTTCTTCTCCTCGGTTGGTTGTGACCCCCTTCGGTTCAGGTTTGTTTCTTGAAGACTCTTTTCTTGTTGGCATTTGCCTCTAGGGGTTGGGTCGCTGAGCTTCTTGCTCTCCTCTGATGCAGGGGTTTCTGCTCCTTCGGTTGTGGCGATTGGTTTTTTCGGTTGCAGCTGTCTCCCTTTTTTCTGGCACGGAATGAGGCTGCTGCTTTCTGGAGGGGTCCTTGGTTTGTTGGTGCTTGTTGGTCAGGCCGGGGGTGCATCGTGTTTTGTGTCCGGTTGTGGCCCTCCGCTGTTATTTGCGCGCCACGGCTTCTGTGTCCGGGACGCGCTTTGGGTTGATCCGGTTCCGTTCCTCCCTGTTCGCTGGTGAAGGTCTCCCAGGTCATCCGCCATGTTATTGCAGCTAGCCAGCCTGTGTTCTATCTCCGTGCCCATGACGTTCGTACATTCGCTGCTCTTGCTGCCGTCGTGGCAGCATGTCCTAGCTGACATTCGGGAGCATGGCTTTTGATGGTAGTACAATACTGTACACTCCCCAACTCAAAGTCGAGACAACTGGCTGCAACCGCCAACCCAAGGTGACACAGGCCCGAATGGGCCCGGGAATGACGAGATATCGAGCAGCCGGTAAGCTCATAGAACTCCATACACATGACTGACGCCAAAGTCTGACATTAGCATATCAGCCTGGATAAGCTCCGGAGAGCCTCCGGGTCTCACCCAGAAAATAGCGTTTCATTACATTCAATGTTGTTGTTTTTTTGAGATTTTGGCCTTACTTTCCAGTGTCTCAATCAGAAAGCACTAACACTATGAACAGTTCCCTGTGGGCGTACGGAACGTCGCCTCACTTGCAACTCTCCGACCATGGTAGTATCCTCCGCAAGAATGTCTACCAGGCTGCCACCAAAGACATTGGTAATTTGGATTTTCAATTTTTTTTTTCTCAAATATATAAGCTTTGTTATTTTCATTGTGTCCTACATGTTAGAATAACAAATTTCTTCATATTACTTTCATGATCTTAGTCAGCTCAGGAAGAAAATTTTGGCTTTATTTTTATCTGTAATGTTTATAACCTAAGAATACCGTATTTCCTGGAGTATAAGACACACCTAATTAAAAGAGATATATGTGGATTTTTATTTTCTTAGCATATTTCATTTTACATTTATTGGAAGTGACTTTCAAGTACTGTAGTCTTGTAAGGGTAAAAACATGATTTTGTGCATGTAAATACAGTACAGTATATGTGAATGGTGGTTGACCAAAAACATGTGTCCTATGTGTCAGAAAATACTATATTTTTTTTATCACTTATAGGAATTATTTGGTTGGTAACTTTTTATTCCTGATTCATTAAATTTGCTTCAAATGGTGAAATTTTTCAGTTATCTTGGCATTGCAGTCTGATTATGTCTAGTTTTTCTTTATTTTTATTAAATTAATTAGAGCTTATGTTGATCTTCAGGCCAAGAAACAAATTCTGCCGACAGCAAGAGTGACGATTCCAAAACTTCCACCCTGTGCAGCAACACCGTCAGCAAAATATGGCGCAAAAGGAATGTCTCCCCAGAGCAACTCTTTCAGGTAATTTTCTGCTCACCAAGCCAATAGCTCAGGATCCTAAAAGAACACCAGGTCTTTGGCAATCAATGGTTTCCCATTGTTGGGGACAGGAGGTTTGCTAAATAATTTACTGAGGTACAACTAGGCCAAGACCTTCCACTGGATGTAACCTATAACAGTTGCCTAACTCCCAGGTACCTGTTTAAAGCTAGGTGAATTTTTATTTTTTTTATTTTATTTATATATATATAAAAGAAGGTACATTGGGATTGTGAGGATACATAGCATAGTAATAACATTCTTGTAAAGCCACTAGTACGTGCAGTATTTCGGGCAGAATGAAGGAATGAAGTATAAAGAAAATTGTCAAAATGTTTGTCAAAACAATACAGTAATTTGGGTCACCAAAATAGGCAATTATCCTTTGGCTAACTGGTAATTAGTGAGCTGCCTGCCACATTGACCACCAGGTGGCAGTACCAGCTACACAAGGTTGGAGGCACCTCATGTGTTGCTCTTGCTTTTTCCATGGAATCCACCTTGTTTTTATTTAGTTTTTTTTTTTTTCTAAGGCTGGGCTGTCTTTGCCCTTCCATATTGTAGTTGTGTTGGGTCAGGCGAGTGCACACAAATTAGTCTTTTTATCATGACTATCCAATTACACCTTCCTTGTGTATCTTCACATGAATAAAGTATGTTAAATAAACAGCCTTCATATCAGTAGATCTATTTATTTATTTATTTATGCATCTGGGTAAACCTGCTGCAAGAGTTTGGAAGTTTGGATTCCAGTAATCCTAATGTCCTGGTAATCCAGATGAGTTCATGTTTTCTACCTTTTAACCAGAATAGGAATTTGGATTATTGAGATTTATGCTAAATGAACACCCAGATATATTACAGTTCAGGTTCTTGACCTCTTTGACTCGAATAAATATTCAGGTTATTGAGATTTATTCTGAATGGGAAACCAAAATAAATTCAAGTTTGAGTTCTTGGCCTTTCATCATGAATCAAAATTTCAGTCAGTGAGATTTTTACCAAATGAAAACTTGAATAAATTTTAAAAATAAGTTTTTTTGACATTCCTAGTAAAAAAAATTGGCTAATTTGAATGGGAGAGGATCCTATATCATTTGGATTATCAAGCGCATCCCTCTTGTGAAACAGATTCCTTTTAGTTATATACAGCACCTATTTCTGTTTTTGACATTTGAGATCTTATTGTGCTTGACAGTGTAGAGAGAGATGACAAGAACCTGTGTAGGAAAGGGACAAACGTCAGTAAACGTGTAAAAGTTAGCTTGAATACTGCCCAAGAATGCATCATCATTGGAAGGAGAGAACAAAATCTTGATTTATTCTTGTGCGGAACTTTACTTCAAATTCTAATCGTGAAAATCCACCAATTTTAAATTTTTGTATTTGTTTTTCTGATAGGTTAAGGTTCATGTGAGTATTCCAATGAAATTTTGTACGCAAGATTACCTCAATATTTTTGTTATGCTGAAGGATTTGGCAGATATTTATTGCCTTAATTTAATTACAGTAATGTAAATAGTTTACAGAAAATTTGCGGATTTGGATGTCTGCAAACCTTTTGGTTCCGCTAGTGCAAGATATTGACACTACTAACAAGGCCTTGAGATCAGTAGCACCCGAGATCCAGATAGGTTGTGTTGGTGTTGACAAGCTCAAGAAGACGGCACAGAACATATCTGGGCTCAAGCAGCTGGCTGATGTGAGTTGCAATTACAGTACTGTAATTCTTTCATAAGCAATTTATATAGTTCAAATAAATGTTCTTGTAAATAATAAAAGCTCCTAAAGTTTCAAGCATCTTCAGTAGGCCTACCTGGATTGTACCTGGATGAGGGTCTGGGAGTTCTACTCTCCATGCCTGGCCTGTCATCGGTAACAGCTTCATATATTGCATCATTTATCAGGTTGTGCCATTCCTGGATGTTACAATACACCAAGACTACCTCGTTCACCGTCTTCGAGAGTTGAGTGCTGGTGGAGCTATTTCTGCGTACCGATGGAATAGAGGGAGCTCTACTTTTAATGGGAAGCAATGGAAAGAAGAATACCCTACTGACACAGCTGTACGTGTTGATTACAAATCGTTTTTATAAATTAATTTAGGGCTTCAAGCATTTGCTCTATTATATATTGCACTTTTGTAGATACATATAAGGCAGTTATGTTGCACATGATGATTGTCCTTAAAGTTATGAAAGTATGATGACCAAACCAGACATCAGAAAGTCATTTTCTGGTGTGTGGTTTGGAGATCATATCTTCAGCCATATTATTGTGACTCATTGTCTGCCTATAGAGAAAATGTAACATTTATGTAGTAAAATTTTGATGGGCATTTTAATTAAAATAATCTGTCATGTTGTACTCCCATATATAAGTCCATAACCCTAAAGCTCATGTGTTCCCTGGTTGTTATCTGGCACTGGGTTTGGGCCAGGTTTCCTTCCTTGGTGGTCAGATTGTGTTTACCTATCGCCATCTGAGATACCTTTTGAGGGGGGGGTTTGAATTTCTTCTCTGTCAACTCTGCAAGTGGATGATATTGAGATATATTTGATTTTACCCAGACAGCTAAGGAGACCACTACCAACATTAACGTAACATTAACGATACCGCGCAATACATTAATAGCAGTTTTAGTGTCTAGCGCTTTCATTTAAACGCCCCATGTGGGATAGGGGCAGCTATAGTGCAGCCACGACCGATAGTTGGTAGACGCCATTTAGAAAAAAATCGTGGTCAACATTCCTGGGTGTAAGAGCCTCAGTACTGAGCGAGCCACCAAGGCTGTCGCACACAGCACGAGCTCACAACACCGCTGTTCAGCTTTTGACCACAGCATCGCCTAAAAATATCAAAATATATATGTACATGCTAATATTTAGCGATGATAGTATTACAGAAGACCCTTGACTATGATAAAGCTGACCAGGATTCTGATAATAGTAGGATGGTAGTGATATTTAGCGCTGTGCTCCATGGTTGGAGGAGTAATGGTGATGGAGGGAGGGTGGTGGCATCATCTTCTGACTGTGTGGTCACCTTTTGTTGACTGGACTTACCATACCAGCTTAGTGGTTCTCTATGGTGAACACAAATGTAGATACTTATATATAATGTGTGTATAGAGTGTAATAACAGCAATAGGAGTATGTTGGGAGCCGCCATTTTGGTGAGGGAGGTGCGTCATCTGCATGACTTATGTTGTTTACTGGTGGCCACTATGGTCTTTGGCCACCATACCAGCTTATTTGTACAGGTATGGTGAATAAAACGTGTAGATACTTATATGTAATGTGTGTATATAGTGTAATAAACACTACAAACACTATTGTTGGAGGAGAAATATTAGTGCATCTGGCCTTGAAGCAGTGAGGGTAGCAGCCACCAGCTGACTATGTGTGTGGCTATGTCTCTTATTGCTTGAACTAAACTTGAACAAGCTTAGATGTACAGTTGTGGTGAACAAAACATGTAGATACTTATATTTAATGTCTGTATATAGTGAATAAAAGCAAAAACAGTATTGTGGGAGGAGCATGTTGACGAGTGAGGAAGGTGGCGGCGAGTGGCTGACTGGCTGGTTAGTGAAGGCCACTCTTCGTTGCTTTTTGACTCACAATACCAACTTAGTGGTTCGTTATGGTGAACAAAACATGCAGATATGTATATATAACCTGTGTATATAGTGTAATAACAGCAAAACTATTTCTTTATTGTTTTATGAACATAATAATTGAATCACTAATATGAACACAATAATTTTGAGTACAGCGATGGTTCACACATTTTATTATACAAATATATCACAATACACACTATTGAATGCTATTACTGCAAAAAAAATAAGAAAAAATCAGAGACATTGAAATAATTAGGTAATAATATCTTTGAGGCAACCCCCGCCTGAGCAGACCTCATCTGGCGACTGCTCTGTCAATGCCTCTTTTTTGCCAGACTTCCCCGCCCTATTGCGCCCAAAATATGCCACCTACGATTTCTCCCCCCCTCCCCTCCCCTTGATCTGGGAACACAAATGAACACTTTTATAAGACAAAAGAATTTTTTGGAATTTTGCCCCTGTGGGTGTTGAAGCCATTATGACCCTTAGTGTCCCAAGGGTTAACATTTTAACGCAACCGGACCATAAATATACGGCCCGCTTGGCTAACGGGTTCCGCAACCACGCCGTAAATAGCCGGCCAATCTAAAAAAAAAACATATAAAATCCAATTCTTATTCGATCGACTTGGGGTTAGTATGAAAATGTTTGCCATTAAATTTCCGTTTTCTCTAATAGGCACATGGCCTATTTGAGAAAACGGCATTGTATTGTAACTTAGAGGAGAGACTATTGAGTTGTTGACACAACGAGGGTAATCGCCCACTTCACACACTCTTGGTGTGGGCCGCGATCATGATTCTACATTTATATGCATATGTCTGTGTAGAGAATTTTATTGCGAGTTCAGTGATATAAAATATAACACTATAGGACTAATGTGGACCTGACAACAAACAAAAGAGTATGAACATTTTGTTGCTGTTTGGGCGTCACGGCGAGTGATCTACGTTTTATTTATTTCGTGGTGGGATAGCTAATGCTTTGGTGACATGTTATACATATGATCTTGTAGAGAATGTTATTGCCAACACATTGATACCAAAATGAAATACGTAGCTCGAGAATTGGTGTCAGGAGAGTGAAAAGATTACACACTTTTTGGTGTTTACGCTCAAGAGCCCAAAACGCCACTCGCACAATGCGCTATTTTTTTTCACGGGGCGCGCGCACATTAAAGTGTTAATTAATATGGTATGGTTAAATCTGTGCTTCTTTGTCCTTTGTTCCTAGCCCTGTTTGTCTGTTGTTCCTAGCCTTGTTTGTCCGTTGTTCCTGGCCCTGTGTGTCCGTTGTTCCTGGTCCTGCTTGTCCGTTGTCCTGGCCCTGTTTGTCTGTTGTTCCTGGCCCTGTTTGTTCGTTGTTCCTGGCGCTGTTTGTCCGTCGTTCCTGGTCCTGTTTGCGCGTTGTTCCTAGCCTTGTTTAACTTGTATTTGAGTGCTTTGTATGTTTTCCAAGTGCACAACTAGGTAATGTTAAGGGATTCTATCTTGGTCATGGCTTTATACACTGTCCCATAATTGGTATTGGTTGGGTGTTAGATGTACAACTTGCGAACGATACTTGTGTGTGTGGCATGCCTGGCAATTTGTATTATGGCCCAGGCAGCTGGTATTCGTTCCTACTGGGAAATCTGTTTACCTCTTCTCTGTTGGTTAGGACAAGACAATGGCATTTGACTGATTCAGAAGTTGATTTGCCTCACGCAGCTTTCCTGGTTCTAAGGGTTTCTTTGAACACTAATGCTTATTTTTGTTGTGTTTGTCATTGTACCTGCTGGATTCAAGAGTGCTTTCACCCTCGGGTGTATGCTAGTCAAGTGGCCCTCTTAGGCCGCAGCATATTAGGCTGCAACCTTTTCTCGTGATCATGTCTTGAAGTACAGGCTGTTGCAGCTCTCTTGACTTCTTTAATGTTTGAGATCAAGTTGTGGCTTAGCTTCATTATTGAGTTTAAACGCAAGAATGCTGTGAAATGGGTTGAATACCTGTTGAAGAATGAAGAATAGGAGGGTCAATATTCCCACAGTCCAGTCTCTGACCAGGCCTACTAGTTAGTGATCATGTCAACCAGGGTGTTTAACATGGCTGCTTGCAGCCTGATTTATGAGTCGCAGCCTGGTTGATCAGGTATTCTTTAAAGATGTTTACGTTTAAATGATATTGGTGTTTAGAAAGTAAATTGAAGCTGAATATTGTTTCATGTGCTGGCAAGATGAACTCTCTGCCTAGAATCATACTCCCCAGTTTAGGCGTCTAGAAGTCTGTATGTCTAGTGTACATAGTCTAGAAGCCTTTTGGTTTTATTTGGTTATGTTCAAGAAGAGGAATAAACCCAGGAATTAGAATTATGGCAGTTTTGTTTGTAACGTAGCGTTCAGTTTATACCGTTATGTTTAGTTTACACGTACTGAGAATTGTTTTATGTTAAGTTTACTCACTAGTATCCAATGCTGTAAATTATTTTACCATCAGTGTTTTAAATGTGAAGCATTACATTTGGTATAAGAAGATATTAATTTACAGTAGTGAGGAATCTGGCCTGTGTTGCCGTTTAGTGTTTTAAATTTTGAGTGTGTTGCCATTACGTAACTCGTCAAAATTTTGTTGGTAACAATTAGATGTAAATACTATTTTAGTAAATGTGTGTTACTTTTATTATTGTGTTTGATATTAAGTCCCCATTTTTACTTTGTAAACTGTTTACCTGGGTTTGTGACCAAGTACAAGTACCTGTACCACCATCTGAGCTTGAGCTGAGGCCAAGTACTGTACCACTATGTTGGAGTTTACCTGGCAGCAGTAGAGAGTGAACCAGCCAGGTGGCGACCTTGAGAAAAAGTTTGTTTTTGTTGGGGCTAGGTCGAAGGTACAGAGCCCTATGCATTGATGGTTGCGAGCAGACCGTGGCCTGCGGAGTCTCAAACCTTATTCCACTCCTCACGGAGTACAAGGCTGGGGTGTGTGTGACCAAAGTACCTCCAAACCACTACCACCATCACCCATCCTCGGTGATTGTGGCTCCACTAGGAGAAAATACTGAGCCACAATATTAGATGGAAAAACAGCAAATAAAAGTCTTTTCTGAAGGTTTCTGTCTTGAGACACTTGGTTGGTTTACTGAGCTGTAATATACTGAGCCACAATATTAGATGGAAAAACAGCAAATAAAAGTCTTTTCTGAAGGTTTCTGTCTTGAGACACTTGGTTGGTTTTCATGTTTTAGATAGTTTTAACTATTTTATGTACAGTATTGCTGTATTCCTGTACATGCATAGGTTGGAATATACATGAGTGAAATAGATTGGGAAAATCTTTTCCTGCTATAAAAAATATAATTTTAATATATTCTTTTATTTCAGATATTATTGCATTTGTTTGCAATGTACATGGATCGTCAGTTGCCACCAGATATTCAGCAGCCAGAGGGTCGCATGTTCTCAAGTACCCATGTGATCAAAGCTCCAGAGAAACCTGTTAAACCTACCACCAGACCTCTGCTTCATCTGAGTCAGGTAATAACTTGGAATGAACCCTTAAATGGTTTATCAAATTGAAAGTTCTACATTGTGGTGCACATGAAAAAAAAATTAGTTCACAAAACTATTGTGTGAAAATCTCATTTGGTGATTCAGACACAAGAGGTAATTACTTACAGCAACTGGAACTGTTTAACCACTGTACTAAATGTCTGTTTATTGTGACAACTTCATGGTGCACATAAAAAAAAATCCCTAATTCAAATTTTTTCTTTTTAACATTGTTAAAATGCATTCTTTGGTCATAGGAAATTAAAAAATAATTGTATACGACTTACTTTGGACGTGATACAGTACTTTTGGATACGAGGATGTTTCACAATTTATGGACATTGAGTGAGTAGTTGCTTTGAGGTGCTTACCCCTACAGGAGCCATGGGGCACAAGATGCCATGAAGATATTTTAACATATTTATTTCAATGCCTCTGAAGGTTTTTTTCTGTGGTTTTTGCAGTAATATTATTCATTAGTGTGCAATTTGATGAATTTATATAATGAAATGTGTAGAACATCGCTATGCTGAAAAATATGGAGCACATGTTAGTGATACATACTGTATAAGTATAGATGCCACACCTGTGACAGGTAAAACAATGCTTTTCTAGAAAAACAGCGCCATCTGTTGCATGTAAGAGCAACACACATGCTATACTAAATATGTTACAATTACATTTCAATGTTTCTGATTACATTAATTAATAAATTTAATTTTCATAGATTTTGATTTATTTTCATTTTGATTTAATTATTTTGTGAATTGCGTTGGAATTGAGATGTGTTGTTTACCATACCATTCATTTCGTGAGTATAGTTTATTTTTTTATTTTTTCATGTTTTCATTTCATTTTTTAACCGTTTTTCTTGGTACATACGTTGCTGAGCCACTTATATTATATAAATGCAAATTATATACTTTATTTTTAAACAATTGCATTATATCACTTAAATATTATTTAACCTAGCTAGTTATAGTTAATGAGTTGGTAAGTAATTTACGTACTGCTTTGAGATTGTAAACTCATGTTATAACAAATCTGCAAGAAAAGAAGTATTATGGCAAAGATATGCACAAGAAAGAGGATCCAATTTCCCCTAGACAACCTGTTTGAACCTCGTCAAACTCTCCTTCCTGTTATTTTGTAATAATGCAGACCCGATGCTCAGTTACCTGGTTGATGGGGTTCTGGGAGTTCTTCTACTCCCCAAGCCCGGCCCGAGGCCAGGCTTGACTTGTGAGAGTTTGGTCCAACAGGCTGTTGCTTGGAGCGGCCCGCAGGCCCACATATCCACCACAGCCCTGTTGGTCCGGCACTCCTTGGAGGAATAAATCTAGTTTCTTCTTGAAGATGTCCACGGTTGTTCCGGCAATATTTCTTATGCTTGCTGGGAGGACGTTGAACAACCGCGGACCTCTGATGTTTATACAGTGTTCTCTGATTGTGCCTATGGCACCTCTGCTCTTCACTGGTTCTATTCTGCATTTTCTTCCATATCGTTCACTCCAGTACGTTGTTATTTTACTGTGTAGATTTGGTACTTGGCCCTCCAGTATCTTCCAGGTGTATATTATTTGGTATCTCTCTCGTCTTCTTTCTAGTGAGTACATTTGGCGGGCTTTGAGACGATCCCAATAATTTAGGTGCTTTATTGCGTCTATGCGTGCCGTATATGTTCTCTGTATTCCCTCTATTTCAGCAATCTCGTCTGCTCTGAAGGGGGAAGTGAGTACTGAGCAGTACTCAAGACGGGACAACACAAGTGACTTGAAGAGTACAACCATTGTGATGGGATCCCTGGATTTGAAAGTTCTCGTAATCCATCCTATCATTTTTCTGGCTGTTGCAATATTTGCTTGGTTATGCTCCTTAAACGTAGGTCGTCAGACATTATTATTCCCAAATCCTTTACATGCTGTTTTCCTACTATGGGTACATTTGATTGTGTTTTGTACTCTGTATTAAGTTTAAGGTCCTCATTTTTACCGTACCTAAGTACCTGGAATTTATCACTGTTAAACATCATGTTATTTTCTGATGCCCAGTCGAAAACTTTATTAATATCAGCTTGAAGTTTTTCAATGTCTTCAGCTGAGGTAATTTTCATACTGATTTTTGTGTCATCTGCAAAGGATGATACGAAGCTGTGACTTGTATTTTTGTCTATATCTGATATGAGAATAAGGAAAAGCAGCGGGGCAAGGACTGTACCCTGAGGTACAGAGCGTTTAACTGCACTTGGACTAGATTTTATATGGTTGACCGTTACTCGCCGAGTCCTGTTTGACAGAAAACTGAGTATCCAGCGTCCTACTTTACCGGTTATTCCCATTGACTTCATTTTGTGTGCTATCACGCCATGGTCACATTTATCGAAAGCCTTTGCAAAGTCCGTGTATATCACATCAGCATTCTGTTTTTCTTCTAATGCCTCAGTGACTTTGTCGTAGTGCTCAAGTAGCTGCGAGAGGCATGATCTTCCCGCTCGAAATCCATGTTGGCCTGGGTTGTGAAGGTCATTGGTCTCCATGAAATTGGTGACCTGACTCCTAATCACTCTCTCAAATACTTTTATGATGTGCGATGTTAGTGCAACTGGTCTATAATTCTTTGCCAATGCTTTGCTCCCTCCCTTGTGTAGAGGGGCTATGTCTGCTACTTTAAGTGCATCTGGTATCTCCCCCGTGTCCAAGCTCTTCCTCCACACTATACTGAGTGCCTGTGCTACTGGCACTTTGCATTTCTTTATAAATATTGAATTCCATGAGTCTGGACCTGGGGCCGAGTGCATGGGCATGTTTTCAATTTCTCTTTCAAAATTTAGTGCGCTCGTGTTGATATCAGTTATATTTACAGGGGTTTGAATATCCCGCATAAAGAAATTGTCTGGATCTTCCACTTTCATGTTGTTTATTGGAGTGCTAAACATGTCCTCATACTGCTTTTTTAGGATTTCACTAATTTCTTTGTCATCCTCCGTGTATGAACCTTCACTTGTACGAATAGGTCCAATACTGGCAGTGGTTTTTGCTTTTGATTTTGCATATGAGAAGAAATATTTTGGATTTTTCTTTATTTCCTGAATTGCTTTCTGTTCTAACTGCCTTTCTTCAGTTTCATATGAGTGTTTCAGTCTTGTATATTTGTTAAGACATAGCCCTCTTGCTGTGCCAGAGCATTGTAATGGTGTTCACTACTGAGAGTGGTGTAGTTTTATGGTAATGGCATTTAGACTCTTCAGCTGTACGTTGGTGTGGCCCTCATGGTACACTTCACCCTCTGTGTATGGCTTTACACACTTATGTCCCTTTTAAATAGTGTGTAGGTATATTATTCACTTTATAATTTTGTTGTTACAGTACTTTAAACGTTCACATGGTAGATAAACAGCTTATTTTGTAGCGTGTACCCGTGGTGTTCTTGACTGATATTGTTTTGATAAGGACTGGCTGGTGATGGCTCTCGCCACGAGATGGCATTCTTCAGAGCAAGTATTCACTATTTGTGTCTGCAGAATTGAGCTATTAGCTCTTGGACCCCTCCTTTGTAACCAGTCTGTTTTTTCCTCTATTATATCTACAACATATATTTCTCTCTAGCTGCCCATAGCAGCTGTCTGACTCCCAGGTACCTATTTACTGCTAGGTGAACAGTGGCATCAGGGTGAAATAAACTCTGCCCATTTGTTTCCATCAGGAATCAAGCCCAGGCCATTAGGACTACAACCCCCGAGCGCTGTCCACTCAACCACAAGGCCTCTGTGAGCCTCGTGTGAAATGCGAGATACCCACCCTGTTTAAATATCGATTTACTCATGTTTACCAAATGTATTTGGTTAAACAGTTAACTATTGATTATATTTATTTATTTCAGAGTATTTCCATAATTTATATGTCCATTGAACTTATTTACATATCCTTGTAGACCCACTACAGACGCACCTCTGTCTCAAATGGTGGCGATATGTTGATCACTTGTTCTTTGGGACTTTCAAATAGCTAGGCTTAGCCCATGTGCTTTTTGTTCTATAATAGCCATTGACCATGACTAACTAATATATGTTAGACTTTTAGTTTAATGTGGATGTTCTCCACAACAATCCTTTCATGATACTGTATACAGTGTTGAACAATATTGTGTAATTTTGACATTTCTGAACATTTGTCTCTTGGTCACCCCTTTAGGAAATATTCCATTTCTAGAAGGTGGAAGGGAGGTTCTGGGGAATTCTCAATGCTTGAAGGAGGTTTTGAGTGTACAGGAAAGTATCTTGTAATGGTCATTCAATGCTGTACTGAGTATTCTCTGGTGTGTCCACTTTTGTGACCCCTGTAAAGGTACAGGTATTGAGAAGATCCCACTGCTTACATATCAGTGACTAGGGGGGAGAGAGAGCTGGCATTTTATGCTCTGCCTCTTACCTATCTTAATATTACATTTTTCATAAAGTTTTGGATGGAATTGACTTTGACAATCTCTACTTTCATTTCACTGTTCACCATTCATACAAGGGATATGGAAAGTCACACCAACTCTGGCTGGAAGTGTCAATATTGTGTGGGGAGTGAGATATTGCCTATGGTAGCAACTGAGTAACCAGCTCATAATGGAGTGCTTTATATACACTCAAATGCCTTTTTCTTTTTTTTACAGGTAAATCCACCCCATGTGAAGGTAATTCTACCTCCAGATGAGGAATGTGAAGTTGGCTATGGCCGTAACAACTTCACACATGCACTGTTACTCTTTGTCCACCATGTCACCCACCAGCAGCACTCACGCATTGCAAATATCAACCTTACTATGTCAGGTGTAAACCTTTCCTGGGTTGTCCGTAGCAGTTGAGAAAAGGACAAATTTATTTACTTCTAAATAGTAAATTTGAATCTCGTTGTGTTTTACATTTATCGTAAATATACATAAATATACAAGTCGAGGAAAGGAGAACTGGGTTTTGTTCATAATATTTGTGTGAAACATGTAAGTTATTAGTTTATATCTTTGAAATGTATTCCTATCTGTTCATTTAACAGTACCACTTGATATGCTTTAATGTGGAGGTTTGTTTGGATGTAGATATGATGTTAACAAATATTGGACTTGATTTCCTTACATATTTTTATTTCAGTACTGCACATTGAAACTCTGAATGATTTTTAATTGAATTTAAATTATACGTACAGTAGTTTAGCTTTTCTTACAGACCTTTTTACTTGATATTTTGTAAAATTTATGCTGTATAAATTTATTTTGTCCCAACATTTCCAGCATACAATAAAATGTGGAGATGAGCTAGATGTTGCCCGCTCTAGTGTTGTTCCCAAGGGGGGCACATTATAAGCATCCAGTTACCTTTATTCATTTGAGTTTGTTTACCCTTTCAAGTGCACATTTTGCAGTATTATTATATATTAATCACTAGACACTGAAAACCCTTTGTGCCAGAGATAGCGTCTGGCACGGTTAATACTGTATTTGTTTTTGTTTGGCCCCTGCCATACACAACTCGATCCACATGTAAAATGAAACGAAAGTGGCAATTTTATTTCGTCCTGGATCCTTCTCAAGTTGTGACAGATTATGATGTTGCTTTAGATTTAGCTGCTCAGTGAAATGTCCATGTAGCACAGGCTATAGTGAGCCCGTAATTGAGTTTGTTGTTGTTCGCGATAACCTTGTTACTGTGATATTTGGGTCAAAGTTTTAAATGGAGGTGGGGTTTCCTCCTTTTCTCCCATTCTTTTTAACTTCTGTTTAAGGGCATTGGTTTTAGTCTTGTTTTAATAACATTATCTTGGTAGCGGATATATATGCAGTGTTCACTCAAGTGTCCCATTCTTCAACTGATTTTCGAATCATTGTAGTTGCTGTGGATTTTGTATCTAATGCAGCTGCTCTTGTTGGATGAATGTTGAGTTTGATGCGCAAGGCTTTAGTTGCTTCACATTTCAGTAAGTAGAGTAATAGTGGCGCCTCTGTATCTGTTCCACAGATATGACATTTTTTATCTATTGGGTTTACTACCTCCCAGCAGTACTTGTAACCAAGTCTGAGTCTGTGTATGGCTACTGCAATGTGTCTGGATACCTTTTTGCCAGGCTTGAAAGAGGAGTACTAAGTTCTTCATACCACATCACAGTGTATCTTCCTTCTGCTACTTTGGCTCTGTGGCGACTTTTGATAGTTGGTAGTATTTTCTTCTTGATTTGCTCCTTAATCTGTGAAGAACTTGGAGGTATTTTAACCTGTACAAGGTTAAATCAGGAATTGGTGAAGGTGAGGTAATATTTGGTGAGGGGCGAGTGGGAAGGTGAGATGATGTGTGGTGAGGGGCGAGTGGGAAGGTGAGGTGATGTGTGGTGAGGGGCGAGTGGGAAGGTGAGATGATGTGTAGTGAGGGGCGAGTGGGAAGGTGAGGTGATGTGTGGTGAGGGGCGAGTGGGAAGGTGAGGTGATGTGTGGTGAGGGGCGAGTGGGAAGGTGAGATGATGTGTGGTGAGGGGCGAGTGGGAAGGTGAGGCGAGGGGTGAGTGGGAAGGTGAGATGGTGAGGGGTGAGTGGGAAGGTGAGATGGTGAGGGGTGAGTGGGAAGGTGAGATGATGTGTGGTGAGGGACGAGTGGGAAGGTGAGATGATGTGTGGTGAGGGGCGAGTGGGAAGGTGAGATGATGTGTGGTGAGGGGCGAGTGGGAAGGTGAGGTGATGTGTGGTGAGGGGTGAGTGGGAAGGTGAGATGGTGAGGGGTGAGTGGGAAGGTGAGATGGTGAGTGGGAAGGTGAGATGGTGAGGGGTGAGTGGGAAGGTGAGATGGTGAGGGGTGAGTGGGAAGGTGAGGTTGTGTGTGGTGAGGGGCGAGTGGGAAGGTGAGGTGATGTGTGGTGAGGGGTGAGTGGGAAGGTGAGATGGTGAGGGGTGAGTGGGAAGGTGAGGTGATGTGTGGTGAGGGGTGAGTAGAGAAAGCAAGCATGAAGACCGAGCTAACAGTGACACTCCCACTCTTCCATGTCACCACATGGTAAGGGTCCATGACAGACTGAAGCATAATCTCTCTCATTTAATTTCATGTATGAGTTTGCTTCATTTGTTTCAGCCATGTTATTGTAACTCATTCCCAGCACTCCCCTTTACCTTTACCCATTCAAATACATTAAAGATGCAGCTTCTTGAAACATCAAATTATTTAACAAAAAACTTGGTAAAGATACTGTATAGTTTTATATAAAAAAATGTACGGTTAGTGTGGGCTCAAGGACACTTTTAGTAACTAGAGGAAGTTTCAAGAGTTTTGTAAAGTGGCTAAGGAAGCTCATTATTATTGGACTAAATTTGATATAATTTTATCATGTTGAGATTTGTGTGTGGATAGTTATGTAAGCACATTTTGAAATAAATCTTACACTAAAATATTAGACCAAGTTAGCACCACTACAGTTTAGACAAGGAATAGTTCATGCTGCTTTTCTGTTTGGGTGAATATAATTGCAAGTGAAGGCATCTCCAGTGCAAGAAGTGCTTCACATCCAATCTATGCAAGATGTTAGCACAATGGTCTTTTTTTGGCATGCTAATCTTGCAGCGGCTTTGGCTACATGCTGTCTTAATGTATTAATGATAGCAATGGGCCCCAACTCTTCTATTGTTGTATTTTGCGAGTACAGGCGAGTGTAATGTATTCTCAACATATTCCCATGGGTAAATTTGGGACAGTGATGTTAATACAACTGTGAATTAATGCTGATCCTTTGTTGATTTGATATTTCTTGAGCACATTTTGCCTGCTGGGATACCTTTTTGTGGGGTAACTGCTCATTTTTATTGGTTTTTAGTTCAGTTCTTACTTAAAATGATCAGAAGTGTTTTTTGTGTTTTCATATACCATGTATATTTGCCTTGACCTGGAAATGGGAAAACAGTTGATTGCATAAAATAAGCTCAGATTTTTTTTTAGGGTCCCACAGCAAGGTGATATGGGAGATTTCATTGTGCTTCGAAGGCAAGTCGAAAGGTTTTTTAGTGAACAATTTTACCTTATTGATTTTCATCTTTGCTACTTATTAAGGAAAGTTATTTATTTATTGTCTTGAACTTGGAAACACTGTGAAGCATAGTTAAAATTTCAAAAAAATTGCCAAGTTCATGATTTCTATCTTAGACTTGGGGTTGACAATGCCCAGATATTATTTTTCTGACTTGAGCAATTGTCTTGTTATCATGTAGTCTTCCTGTGTCCTTCTCTCCCCTGTCTTAAATCTCATCACCTTGTATTTACTTGGATTAAAGCCGTTTCTCAGACTTAAACTTTTAGTTTGTCTAGGTCCTATCTCCTTCCACAAACATGGACCCATCTCCCCGAACTATGTATTTCTATTATACAAAATTACTATAGACCTATCTCATTGAACTACTATAGATTAATCTCCCCAAACTGCTGTGTACCAAATCTTCCTGAACTACTATAGACTTACCTCCCTCATATTCCATAGACCCATCTTCCTGAACTAGTGTATATGTTCCACTAGTGATCTCACTGAACAATTATAAACCTACAAATGAACTATTATAGATCTGCCTCCCTGAACTACTATAGACCTATCACTGAACTATTAAAGACCTATCAATGAACTACTATAGATCTGCCTCCGTGATCTATTATAGACCTTTCACTGAACTACTATAGAGCTGCCTCACTGATCTATTATAGATCTTTCACTGAACTGTTATAGACCTATCACTAAGCTACTATAGCGCTTTCACTGAACTATTTGAGCTCTGCCTCCCTGAATTATTTTAGACCTATCACTGAACTATTATAGATCTGCCTCACTGATCTATTATAGACCTTTCACTGAACTACTATAGACCTATCTCCCTGAACTCTGTTCAACAAGTGGCTGACTCATTAATTTTTTTACAGACACAAAAATTCTTAGATTTTTAGTTTTTTAAAACTTGTTGATGATTTTGAAACTATCTGGAGTCACGTAAAACAGCTTGTATTTTCTCAATAAGTACATCCAAATGACTCGACAATATCGACATACCAAACTTTTCAGAAAACTGCTAAACAGTTCAGCAATTGCAAAATATTTACATTAAGCCCTTTATCAGATTAGGAAAGTCACCGTGGACTAGAATAATGGTCCCGCTGATTATATTTTTTCCTGATAATCTGAGAGCGATTATATCTTGTGGCCATGGCAGGTCCGGGAAGGATGTGGCTCACTATCTCTAGTGACGTTAATCAAATCAAATCAAATGTTTATTCAGGTACAAGTACATACATACAAGATGAGTTACAAACATAATGTTGGATTTCTTGAAAGAGGTAATACATACAATGCCTAATGCCTCTAATACGCACAGCGTTTCAGGCAACAATCACTATCTCTGGTGACGATGATCACTATCCAGTGACTATGTTCACTATCTCTAGTGAGTCACTATGTTCACTATCTAGTGACGACGATCACCATCTCTAATGATCACAATCTCTATAGTGACGATGATCACAATCTCTAGTGACGATGATCACTATCTCTAATGATGATCACTATCTCTAGTGACAACGATCACTATCTAATGATGATGATCACAATCTCTAGTGACGATGATCACTATCTAATGATGATCACTATCACTAGTGACGATGATCACTATCACTAGTGACGATGATCACTATCACTAGTGACGATCACTATCACTAGTGACGATGATCACTATCACTAGTGACGATGATCACTATCACTAGTGACGATGATCACTATCACTAGTGACGATGATCACTATCACTAGTGACATTGATCACTATCACTAGTGACGATGATCACTATCACTAGTGACGATGATCACTATCTCAAGTGACGATGATCACTATCACTAGTGATGATGATCACTATCACTAGTGACGATGATCACTATCACTAGTGACGATGATCACTATCTCTAGTGACGATGATCACTATCACTAGTGACGATGATCACTATGTCTAGTGACGATGATCACTATCACTAGTGACGATGATCACTATCACTAGTGACGATGATCACAATCCCTAGTGACGATGATCACTATCACTAGCGACGATGATCACTATCACTAGCGACGATGATCACTATCACTAGTGACGATGGTCACTATCACTAGTGACGACGATCACTATCACTAGTGACGATGGTCACTATCACTAGTGACGATGATCACTATCACTAGTGACGACGATCACTATCACTAGTGACGATGATCACTATCACTAGTGACGACGATCACTATCACTAGTGACGATGATCACTATCACTAGTGACGATGATCACTATCACTAGTGACGATGATCACTAGTGACGACGATCACGACAAACT